CCCTGCCGCAGGCCCCGCGGCAGAGCTCGCCCGGGAAAACAAGAATTGGGGGGCGGTGAAGGCGCCCGGCGAAGCCGTGCCCGCACCCGCCACTGTCCCGTCCGTGTGCGGGAGGCGGATCCCCGTGTTCCACCTCAGGGGTACCTCGGTTTGCGTGAAAAAACTAAACTGCGAGGTCTCCCAGAGTCAGGGGGAGCAAAGTCTTTACCTTGCAAGAAGCACTCTGACCTTTTCCAGGATTTGGTGTATCCTTGGTTCTTTTTATCTCGTAATCGGTGCCTTTCGGCTTAGCGCAAACGCTATGTACGATTTTGTTTGAGAAGTAGCGTTACCCTTTGTAGCTTTTTGTCTTGTCTTCCAGGGAGGGAGTTCCTTTCCGGTAATAGTAAAAGAACGTGATGCTGAATGAAAACGCAGCAACAGCATCTTCATTAGTTGGAGCTTGACTCTTCTTTGCTTTTTAATGCTGATTTCTTTGTCACCAGGTCTGCTGAAAAATGACAGAATATAAACTTGTGGTCGTTGGAGCTGGTGGTGTAGGCAAGAGTGCCTTGACAATACAGCTAATTCAGAATCACTTTGTGGATGAATATGACCCTACAATAGAGGTAAACAAATTCATCTTCTACTTTTTGTGAAGACATTATTAGTAATTATGGGACTTGTTAACTTCTGAGCAGTTACCCCAAAACCACAGAACAAGGCTTTTATAATAAAAAGAGCTCAAAGGTAATGGTCAGCATTACACCAGCATTGGAGAGGAAATAGCTGTGCTTCTTCATCTGTCTTTGGAACAACAGCAGCAGTAAAAAAAAATAAATAACAATTTTGATCAATTAAAATATGGTGTTAACTGCCATATTTTTGTGGATAGTTTGGATGCATGTTTTTAGGATATCTGTGACAAAGTATTTGCCAAATTCACTTGAAAATTCTTGGCAAAGCTCTTCATAGCTTTGCATGCAGCCTCTTAAACGTGACTTTCCTTTTTGATATCAAGAAGGAAAATTTGTAGTTCTGAAATGTACGTTTCAAGCTTTCGCAGCTCCTATCATTAGGATCCCCATTCGGTCCCCATGTGTTGCCTGATCTAGTTGAGAGGCGTCCCTGCCCATGACAGGGAGGTTGGATTAAATGATCTCTAAGGTCTCTTCCCACCTAGGCCATTCTATGATCTGTTTCACATAGTTAGAAGTGTGTCCTGGAACGTTATAGTGAACAAAGCAAAAATTTGGAGCTTGATTTCTCTTTTTAGACACCTGTGCATGTTTCTTTATCTGGAAAATACGTTATAGGGTAACTGCTGAAGTGGATACTTTAAAGTACATGACACAGTTCCTCAAAATCTGAAATTCAGGCTTTAAAACTTGCTATATTTTAAAGGTTTTTAACGAGTAGGCAAGCTCTGCCTTTTAAATATAAGAAAAATACTAGTATTGTCTGAAGTCTCCTGTGGATCGTTGGATTTAATAACCTCAGACTACATAAAAGGAGAAATGACACTATAATTTACCCATGAATTTTATGTTCCCAGCACTGAAGTTCTGTAGCTTATGACTTCATTTATATGTCTATACAACAACGCACTTCCAAGCTTACTTGAAGGAATCACAAGGGTTTAAATCTAGGCTTAAAATGGCTGTGTCATCATTTTCAGGTAGACAAGTGAAAGGAGCTGGTGCCTTGAGGTGCTAGGAAGCTGTCTGTCTTTAGCAAAGTGCAGCCCTGAGTTAATGTGCTCCAAATAATAATGTGTTGGCTTGAGCTTGAGTTTACCTTAATGTACTTGGGTGTCTTCTTGTCCCTCTGTTCCTTGGCCAGGTGACCTTGTGTATGCTTGTAGAAGATTTTATGAGTAGTCCTA